CACAGAGATGCCGCCCTGGCGCATCGACGCCCCGCCCCTACCGCTTCAATAACGCAACTACACGATACACGGATCGGGTACGATATGTACAGTGAGTTTCGGCCGCGTCTGAGCAGAAAAATATTTACGACCTATACTTCGGAAGGGGGGACCCTTACAGGTCTTGACGAAATCAATAATTCGTGCATAATATTTCACTCGCCGGTCCGAATTTGCTGCAATTTGGTACGTCGGCTCTTTGCAACGTCCTTAATCTTCCCCGTGATGATCAGACGTGCGCAGATTGTTTTGAGTGCACCAGCCTCGCCGGGAGGTGCAAATATCGGTTTTGCACCAACGGCGACCTCGCTCGTTGACGGTGTGCCGGGTCGCTTCGACACTCGTTTGCGACGATGCGCACACAGGGGGGCGTATGTACGGTGAGTTTCAGCCGCGTCGGAGCAAAAATATTTCACGACATGTAATTCGAAGGGGGGACCCTTACGGGCGTCAACGACAACAACAAATTGCGCATAACATCTTACTTGCTGGTCCGAATGCGCTGCGAACTGGTACGTCGACTCGTTCAAACGTTCTTCGTCGGCCCCGTTACGCTCAAACGCTTTCGGGCAGGTGCGAGCGAGTGAGCATCGTCAGGAGGTGCTAACACTGGTTTTGCGCGGACAGCGGCCTCGCGCACCGACGTCGCAGTGTATCGCTTCGCCATTTGAACGCCACGCTCCGCTTACCAGGACGCATACACCCTGCAAGTTTCAGCCATGTCCGAACAAATTGAGGAAATCGAAAAGATGCCCGCCGCGTGGAATTTCGCCAGGGTGAAAACATTGAAACACCCGTCCCGGCCCTTCCTGTCGTCGCACCGCGCTGTGCGTTGGCACACACACGCCCGCAACTGTATGCATTCAAGCCCCGCCGTCTCGGGACGTGGTGCAGCTCGTCGAAGTTGCGGGAGATGCTGGAGCCCTCCCCTGCTCTCACAAAGCCACCGCCCTGCTGCGCCAACGCTGCGCCCTGCCGCTTCAATAATGGAACTACGCGATGCGCGGACCGGGTACGATATGCACAGTGAGTTTCGGCCGTGTCGAAGCAAAAAATATTTACGACATGTACTCGCGAAGGGGGGACCCTTACAGGTCTCGATGAAAACGCTAATTCGTGCATAACACCTTGCTCGCTGGTCCGAATGCGCTGCGATTTGGTACGTCGGCTCTTTGCAACATCCTCGACCGTCCCCGTGATGCTCAGACGTACACAGACAGGTTTGGGTGTGCCAGCCCCGCCGGGAGGTGCCAATTCCGGTTTTGCACGAATGGCGACCTCGCGCATCGACGGTGCGCCGTGTCGCTTCAATAATCGTACACCGCCATGAACACATGGGAGGGCGTATGCACGGTGAGTTTTAGCCGCGTCAGAGCAAAAATATTTCACGACATGTATTTCAAAGGGGGGACCCTTACAGTTCTCAACGAAAACAGTAAATTGCGCATAACATCACGCTTGGTGGTCGGGACGGGCTGTGACTTGGTACGTCTACTCTTATCAATGTACGCAATCATCCCTATCGTGCTCAGACGCACGCAGTCTGATGGGAACGAGCGAGAGTCGTCGGGAGGTGCTTCTGTCAGTTCTGCACCGACAGCTACCTCGCGCGCCCGCGACGCGGCGTGCCGCTGCAATACTTGAATACCGCTATCCGTGCACCAGGGGCCATACACACTGTGAGTTTCAGCGCGATCCGAGCAGAATTACCTGCTGACCTCCCCGCCCACCTCGTACCTCGAAGGCGGCGCAGACAAGCTCAAACCGCGCACCCCGCTCGTTCAAGAGAGCGTCGCGCACCAGAGATACGCCCACATATACTTGAAGATGAATGCATCAGTACGTCGCAGCGTAACTACAGGTACGGACAAGTAATGCCTCGACGACCTCCTGCGTCAAGCTGTGCCGGCAGGTGGTCAATCGAAAGACATCGACCGTCTTCCTACGCCCATGCGGCCTCGGCGGCCTCATCCACACAACCAGAGTGTATACGGCACCGGGGAACGTGTAGACGGTAAGTCTCGGAATGATACGAGCAAATTCAGTATTCACGAATGCTTCCCAAAGGGGGGACCCTTTACATACGACGGTGAAATCACTGTTTCGAGCATTCCCCC